ATATGAGGTAACTCTTTCTCGGATAGTCAAACCGTTTGTTCGGACTTGAATCCAAAACAGTCCACAGTCTTGAAATACAAAGCTTGAAAAGCCTGCGCATGTCTTTAGCCTAGCCCGTGTGCAAATGYACCCCTGTATGAGGTTCGACTTTGGAAACCGAAAGTGGAAATCCAAAACAGCAAAAAGGTTTCAATTTTCATCAACGAAAATAAAATAAAAAGGAAATGAAGAATATACGAATGTGTTCATGATGACCTTCATACTTACCCTCACAGATTCGTTTAACAATTGTGTCGACGACATAATGTAGCTTACTAAATGAGCTGGTGAAGACGTTTCTTGACGAAGGACGTGAAGCCATAGAGTTAAGTTGATGTACATCAAAATATCGACCAATACCTACGCTAAGGATTTGTATACCAGCGTCTTTTATTCTTGTTGCTGGCCAAAAAACATCATCTATTGATCTACAAGAGAAAGATTCATGAAAATTTTCGTTTAACTTCTTAACTGGACAACAAAACCAGTTGAATATTTCACGTGATAGGAAATCAAATGAAAATAATTAAAGCAAGCATGAAAAACGAATGAAAGCTTCAAAGTGTTTAATAAACACTACCGAGAATTGAAACACTTGCACACTGACCTTCCATCTGTTACTACAAGAACCATCTTTTTACGAGTGCTCTTTCGGTCACAGTAGCATCCAAAGAAGGATTTGTAAGTGAAATCAAGGGCTGCACCACTCCTTACTTTCCATCCAGACTGGCGGACTGGCGAAGGTCTGTCTATTGCTCTCAGGATATTTTTTAATTTGGAACCCCTACAAGAAAGATTAGAATTATCAATTAAACCTGATAACCTGCGYCGGTAATCATCGAAATATTCATTCGTACAATGTTTTGATATCTGTCGCAGAAATAGAGTGGAAAATGAGAAAATTTCTCAAACAAATTAAAACTCGTTAAATGTTTGGCAACTGACACAGTTCAAGGAAGTTTGATGGCAGGGAAAAAACGAATGCTTCATTAAAGATTACGCCTCTTCTCTTAGACTTTCCTCTCCACTTTTTTATAAGTAGCTATGGGATTGGGTGAGTTCATACATTACGAGGACCAACTAGAATTACTCACCCATACAATCCAAGGTGTATGTACGGCTTTAAATCAAACGTTATCAAACCAACGCGAATGTATTTTGAGCTGATGACGAGTCTGTGAACAATATCTTTGATAAAGTTTATAACGAGCTTGTAGTTATCAAACCCTGTATGCCCAATACTCCTGGATGCCTCAGTTAAAATCACCAAGTCTATGTCTGATTGGCAACCTTTGTATCAATAAAAATATAAGGTTAGGATAAATTAAAGGATAAATTCAGATATAAATGCTTGCCATAAATTGATCGAAGTGCGCTCTTACTTTGCAACGGAGTGGGATACGACGAAACTGAAAAAAATAAACAATCAGTCCATTCAAATTCAACTAAATAGTATTAACTGCGATAAAATACTCGTAAGGAAATGATCATTGACATTGTGCCCAGGTAAATAAAAGGGATTACAACAGAAAGATAATCCAAGAAACAATTTAATTTGCATTCGAGTACTTGATCGGATCTTCCGTAATAGCTGTGCACTAGACTATAGGAAAACTACTAGGAACGCAGCCCAGTTCGTCTACATCTCATACCCTTGAAAGAAATTACCAAAAAGGTCTCCACTAGTGGAAAAATATAACTTCATCAATTGGAAAGTCTTTGTTCTGTTGCGTGCAAGAACATTGTATCAGAAATTAATCAAAATCACCTGGTATACCTGCGGGTATCCAGGKTTGAGGATTCGGTAAATAATTTGKTGGGTGACTTGGAGTATGTGTAATTTTAGCAGTGGCTTTCGGTGTTATTGAGGGATAAGACGTGGTCTTCTTTCTTAGTTTAAAAATTTCTGAAGTTGCTGTCTTTGTGGGTGGGTGTGTCGCTGGCTGTGTTGCTGGCTGCGTTGGTGAATATGTAAGAGGCTGCGTTGGTGGCTGTGTTGCGGGCTGCGTTGGTGGCTGTGTCGAAGACTGCGTTGGTGGATGTGCCGCGGCCTGTGTCTGCGTTTGAGCTGGGTTGCCAGATGATTTTTCAGTGTGAGGTTGAAATGCCAAATCTATCGGGACGGGAGATTTKGTCTGTTTATCACYGTTTTGATGGAAATGAATATGTTGACTTTTATGGTAAATTACTTTTTCGTATCTCGAGAATACTGGATGTCTTGTATCAATGGTGAAATCCCCACTACCACTTCCTTCTCCACTTAGTGCTTCTCCACTTTGCTCGATCAATTCTGGGATGCCGGCTTCTAGTCGTTTATTGTTTAAGCTTTGTTCTTTTTCGAAAGTCTTTTGTTTATCGTTGGCTGTCTTTCTATGTCTATTGTTATGTTCCACATCTTTGATAGTGTCTAGTGTCAATCCCTTTGTGTAGAAAATGYGTCGTCTAGTACCTTTAGGACGAATAGTTGTTAATGGCCGATTTGATRTCCGTACTATAAGTTTTTGATGCGCTAAATGTAACTTTCTAGAAAGTACCGCAATATTTTTGCTATTCTTTTGATTGGCTTCGTTTCCAGACGTCCATACCTCACTATTTTCCTTTCTAGTTGTTTTATCAGCTCTATACAAAAGAACTGAAGTCAAGCCACATAACAACACGACCCATGTCAAGCCACAACGCATAGTCGTGGAACTAAGTGATCATAGTTCACATGGATTCAAAAAGATTCAGTGTAACCTACAAATTGTTTTCTTATTTGAACTGGTAGCTAATTTCATAATAGTAGTCCACCTGACATAGAGTGACTCCCCTGCACTGGGTCTGTATAAACTATCCATTAAATATACAAAACAGTATTAACACAAACTGTCTGAACTTTCAGATAGAACCGCGCCTCAATGTTGATGCCATGTCATAACTCGTCTACCAAACTCGTATTTTTGATTTTACAACTTACTGGTGGTACTATGAACTTGAATACAAACAAATACGAGAGCTAACAAAACCAAATTGCAGTCTTTGATTAAAGGATTTGTTCTTTTAAATCTTATTTGATAGCACTGGTTATCACTTCCATTCAGTTAAGAGCGATATATTGAGTGAGAGCTGTTCAAAACGTGCGCCGGCTTTAATCATATTACAATTAGACAATAGAATCACCTGCAAAAGAAATGGAAGCCGTCCCCCCCCTAACTACTCCTCTTTCAAGTTTGGAGTGATCACGGTGGCAAACTAACATTAAAAACCACGTGCTCGGTCTTCCATTGAAATTCAAGACCTCGGGCCTTCGGCCCTCGGTCTTGAATTTCAATGGAAGACCTCGCACTTGGTTTTTAACCTATATAGCTAAACTACATCAGAATTTTAAGGGATGAAAATCGCATTCGCCTCTTCCAAATATCAGTCCGCTATCACAGAGCCGGAAATGGTTTTTATTGCAGCCATTTTGATTCTTCTTAGATAAAAATCTTGAATCTCCGTCACACAAAAAAATTGTCATTTTCGTGAAATATTCAGTCTAGATGTTCAAAAATCGTAAGACCTGACGAGCCAAAACACCGCTTACCGTGCATGCAATTAGGAAGTTCGTATCATAATTTGCCGATTTATTGATGGCGTCAAATCATTTCTGATTTTCAGATATTACTGTATATGAATAAATGGCTATCTTTTCCTATTTGTCCTATACTATCAATTGTATTTCTTAGCTTATCGAATGCAGTTCTACCGCGTTTTTCTTTGTCTTGTCACCATGGTGACCACAACCCTTACCTAAAAAAAGAATTGTTTAGTAAGAAGCCAAGATAAAATTGGACAGGTACTCATATCAACACTCAGTAAGCAAACACACTGCGTTAGAGTAGTTTTCCTTGTCCGTGCACTGAAAATGACTGTGTAGAACAGAAAGAGCCTGGTGTTATCTGCTGGTTTTGTACGGAATTCTATTTTTGGCTGGATAGCGCTATTCACCCTTCGTACAACTGATTTATAGTGCGATATCAGCGGGAATGGTTTCCATAAACCCTTGGAATACACCTAGCATACTATAGGTGTACGGGTTTTTTTTCAGTTTCCGATTATTGCACTTTGTTTGTCTGTTTCACGGGTTAATGAAATCCGCTCTATTAGTCTCAGTAATAATCTTTTATGATCAAATGGCTCGAGCAATGTCTTTGCTCACGAGACTACACGGTAAATGCATCTTTGGGCTCGTGTCCAGTGTACAACAATTTTTTTTATAGTTAAAATCTGTATTGAATTGCATGCAATTATAATTTACACTGACCTATTAATTTATGGTGAAATTCTATTTTAAATCCTTTACATGGTATAATATTGTTTCCATGAGTCTTTATTTTATTGGATATGCTTGAATTTGTCCTTGTAACGTAAAAACCCGCATGTCACAGATACTCACGTGATGTGTGCTAGAGTAGTTCTTTTCTAATGCGTATTTCTCTAGGGGAATACTTTCAGAATGTAACCCCGCAATAAAACTTAGACTAAATTTGTCTAGCTGATCTGGTTCTTATTTTTAAAATTACAATTTTGATGCAGGTTTTTACATGCTGTTTGTTATGTTCGAGGTGTTCCTTAGCAGACAATAAAGTTCGGGTAGCTCACGGATCTATTTCGGATTGACTTCGTAACACTTTCGCTTTTTYAGACTGGGACTTCTAAATGGCCCGTTGGACAAAAATGAACTTCGTCTCTTTTTTGTATTTGTATTCGGAGATATCGGAGTTTGTTCCCCGTCACTTCGAGTTGGCGAGAATACTTCAGAAACCAAGGACGTGGCGGAGATTGTCCGAAGCATATCCGACAACTTAGAGAAATTTGAATGATCCTCATCAGTTTGACAGGACGACAATGTCAGTGAGCTGCCTTGAAARCAGAGCAACTCAACTTGGTCTTGCATGGATGAGACGATGTAGATAGCACCAGAAGAAATGGCTGGACCCAAAACCCTTGGATTTTGTACATCAAGAAACTTGTGGGTGAAAGAACTGAAAGAAAATACGGCAAAAAAAGTTAGTAATACAAGCTTTAAACGAAATGACTTTCATTGCTTTAAGCAGAGATGCAGTATTTATCAGTAATAATTAAKCAATAAATATCTATCAATATCACCGTCATCTTAAATACTTACTCTGTTATGGATGATGACACGGAAGGGATTTCACACACATCGATCGAGTTGAAGTGTGTTACAAAGAGGAACGGCTCTTTGTAAGCTGCAAAATAGAACAATAACAATATAAAGAGCAACAACAACAAAAAGACAAATATTCAGGTAAAACACTCATTCTCATCAGCACAGCCTTACCRAAGGCGAGAGGAAGACGAGTCCACATAAGGGTTTTCTCTCTCGTTTGACGTCCGGTAGAATTGACGAAAACTCCAAACTCTTCAAGTCAGAATAAGTATATCAGTCATATAGAAGTTACTAGGAGAAAGTGATGTTCTCGGATAAAATAAATAGAACGACGGAAACGAAAAGAACAAATCAAAGTGAACGAAACTAGGAAAGAAAACGGCTGGAAGGAAACAKAGAGGAAATAGGTCAGGAGTTGAGAAGGAAAGCATGTGGACTGAGAGGCCTAGACCATCTACCATAATCATTACGTTAAAATGAGTGCAAGACAAATTCTTTCTGTAATTACCATTGTAACACAAAAGAAGTTCTTGGTCTTTGGAGCCTGAGGAGGTTACGTCAAGGATGGAGATAGGGAAGATATTTAACTGGGCTGCGCCGTACACTGCAAAGGCTAACGACGTGTCCTTAGCATCGAGGAAATCTGTCATGTGAACATAATGAGCATCATTATTTCCCTTTTACAGGAAAGGCTGTCATAAATCTATAGAATTATTAAGCAGTACAAATATCAATGCTTCTTTGCAAATCAMTTACCTGTGATGGTTTGATTTCGAAGGTCTAGTCTGTAAAACTTGTCAGTGCCATACACCACGCTTGACTCGGTGAAGTAAATACAATTACATGGCTCAGTCGTATCAATTTCCTGAAACAAAACAAAACAAAGAAAATGTTTATCAGACTGTACAGAACATGTYAGTGTACTAAGAGATGGCAGTCTATTGTTTGATATATATAGTCCTTCGTCGATAAGTATAGTTTTTACCTTTCTTATGCAAAACGCACTCATTCCACCATTGAATCGAAGTAGATGGAGTTTGTTTGGMGTAGCAGCACATAGATACTGACTATTATCAAACTATGGAAAGACACAACAGCAAATTATAGATGGWTGTTATCAATCGATATAAAGATGGCAGTGATAAAGATAAAACTGCGTGATGGACAAAAACTATACGTATATTGGTAAAAACATTAAGCAGCGCGTTTTACCTGCCCAACAGCAAACAAGTGACAGTTCTTYAATTTCTCAATTCCTTGAATAGTCAGCGGTGTCATAGGAACCTCAGAATTAATCATCCTAGCACGTGACTGAAGTTGCTTTAAATCAACCCGACAAAGGTTTCGCTCTTTTCCTAAAATATGACAGTGATTTAAGAGATGATTTAATTTACTGCTTATCCGTAAACTATCACATTGTTGATATTATATCAATACTGAATACCASTGGAAAAATACGATGGTGTACACAAAATATCCGGAAGAATGAGATGATCAAATGGGAATTGATAAGGGTATCCACAATCAACTGGATAAAATGAAAACAATTTTTTTAAAAATAACAATATATCAAAATTTAAAAGACGTTTCGACTTTCATAAAGATATCTTCAGTTTGAATATGATAACAAAATATAAAGAACTAGACATCCACAGAAAGGATAATCAAAGTGAACGAACCAAAAAAACATTCAAAATATACCAATCCTTACCAGCAATCATAACAGCAAGGTTTAAATCGGTTACAAGTGCCATCTGAAAGACTTTTCCCATTCCTGGAATCTCACGATGATTTCCATGACCTGGTTTTGCAATGGACAGTGCATAGAGTCCTTCTTCTGCACCGATAAGCAACAACTATTAAAAACACATAATACGAGTTAAGATATGTTAGTCTTGCAATAAYTAATAGTCGTGAAAGGACGTACCTCATCAGTTAGTATTTGAGTGCAGTTCATATCAATTTTGCTGCTATTTTCGAGGCGAAGTAAGGTGTTTCCAAAGAGTTTCTGAACATGAAGAACATTAGATACACTTTAAAAACAACAATGCGAGTAGAATCGAATAATGAAAAAGAAAAAGAACTGAAAGAGCAAGATAATCATTGCTTGATATACCGGTGTTCATTGGAACAATGAAGAAATAATTATTCATGATGAATCAAAAGATGAAATGAATGTTGTTATCAAATCGTATCATTCACTATATGCTGTACCTCATCACACTTTTCTGTCTGTTCTTTTTTGTTAATCTTCTTCAGTTCATCTAAACTAGCTTCTAAAGCTACCACCCACTTCTGTTTGTCCTTAAAGCTTGGGGCCATCAAATACAGGTTTTGCACTGGCCAGCACTTTGGCCTGGACTCTACCCTAATAATATAAGGAAGGTCCGTGGGGGCGGTGCCTAGCAATTCCGATGACATCACTGATGAGTGGATTGTCACGTGACCGTCGGTGCCATCAAGGTTCAACGTTTCTGTTGGGGATGTTTTGTCTGAAAGAAAATATTGTTTGACGTTTTTGTTACTATACATGTAGATATTGCTGATGTGGTTCGTGCAAATGTGCAAACTAGATCACCATCTCTGTAAGTTGTCTCTCATTATTATCACAATTAACATACCTTTAACATTTTCTTTGTCGAATATATGGACTTTGCAGTCCTTCAGCAAGATCCATTTCCTCTCCCATCCATATTTGACGGAAACGCTGTTGAGATGAATATTGAGATCATCCTCATTGATACTTTTAATATTAATACCACAATATTGACCAATATTATTAACTGAATACAATAACTTTACAATACCTGGGTACTTTCATCCAGTTTTCTAAACCATTTGCTAGTTGTGATACAGATCGTTTCATACCCTTAATAGGTGAATCACTGTTGTTATCATTCAAGGCTTCACTAAAATGTTCTACAAACTGTGATGGGAGGCCACAAGTGTGAGACAAATGAGAGGCACATTTTATGTGACAGACAGAACCACATTCTGAAAAAGGGAATTAATTTTAGCATTCATCAATATTTTTGATGGCGTTCAGATTATTTTCTGAGTTCCAATTCCCAACTTAAATACTTCTCTCTTTCATAACGTTTTTAATTCCAGGACTTTTCAGGGATTTCTAAGAGCAGCACGAACCCTGAATTATCTATATCAATCAATCAACTTAAAATCTACCAGACAACTAATAAATCAACTAACTAATGTGTTCAATCAATGCAATAAAAAAATAAATCATTGGTATGTATCATTGAATGTACTCTGTTCAGTTAATCATCGACATTAATCAATCAATATCAAACACATCAACAAAACTATTTTATTGGCCACTACTTATGTGATAATCAATAAATCAATCGAAGCCATTGGTAATTAGAACATCATGTCAACATCAAGATCACTAATCACTTCTTCTAACACAACGACTAAGTAAATTATTGATTTCAAAAATAGCCACTGTACCTGCACATTTTGATGACTGGCGTCCAAAGTGCACTGTATCCAGACAAAGAGAGCACTTGACGGGATGCATGTTGAGAATGTGCACAAACCTGCAATACAATAATGCAACATGGTGCTTTGATTTACTTGACCTAGCTTGTTTGCCTAAAAGCATACAGGGTCGAGGCAGCCATTCCCCCAGACTATAGGTGTGATTTATTTTAACTAAAAGAAACTGGTATAGATTTTTAAAGAAAGAAGAAACTTTGAACTATCATTTTACAGCACAATACACAATAATGTCCTGTACCTGTGAGGTATGTTATGATGCATCCGTTCTTTTGGTCTATGTAGTGTAGGATCTGATGTCAGGGGGGGTTTGCTGGTTGAATTGCTGCTCTTCTTCATTATTTCCAATGGAGCTTGTTGGTTGCTAGGTGATTGTTGCAATGCTGATAGTACTGCTACTTTTTGTGTTGGTTTTTTGTCAGGTGCATTTTGACACAAGGACTTCCACTGGGCAACTGAATGGAAACACAAATTCTCTGATATGTGTTCAATGAAATTAGCATTTTTTCCTGAAATATCTACATGTATTTAGGGTACATTATATCTTTCTATGGTTAACTTTGCTAACCTTCCATTTTAGCATTCTTCAGCTCAGCTTGTGTTCTGTTTAGTTCTGTTTGCAGTTTCAAGCTTGATGCTCTTTCCTTTTCCAGTGCTTGTTGCAAATCTTTCCATTGTTTTGGTACAACATTGCGTTCATCATGGTATTGCTTACGCCATGTTTTACCTCCTCCTCCTATCAGCTGAAGACAAAGAAACAAATTACAAGAAAGCAATCAGAAATAGCAAATGCACTGACTCTGATGAATTTGAGTACTGCATAGATTTTCTGTCAATCAAGATCAAATGAGCTCTAAATTAAGCAATAAAAGTACTGTATTGTGAACTATAATTATAATTTTATTTGTTTGATGTTTCTTTTGTTGTGTGTATTTCTTTTTCTTTTTTTTGCTGGTAGGGAAGGTATTTAATTTCTCACCTTTTTCTTCTTCATATTCTGCCCTTCTGTCTTGTATTGCAAGAAATCTATAAGTTTGGTTTGTTGTGCTTTAGTGGCCTCCAGCTTCAATCTCTCTTCAGCATATGATGACTCCATTATCCCAATTTGTTCTGCCAGGGCAGCCCTTTCAGTATTTACTTCTTCAAATTTTTCCATTGCTGACTCAATGTTCTGGTTCATCTGGAAGTTTACTGCTCGCAGATTAGAGATTTGAGACTCAAGTCTTTCATTCTAAATTGACATATGAACAATTAGAGAAATAATGATTACCAGTCCGATCGAGGAATGAAACCATTGTAGATACCCAAGTTTTGGATTAACAACAAAGAATATAAACAATTGATGAATCATATTCAGCAGCACTAATGACAGTAAGTAAACATTGTTGCTATCAGGTCATCAACCAAATGTTTCTAATTGTTGCTCTAAGATAGATACACCAAAATGTAATGATTGTAATCAAGTCAAGATATATTTTCCTATACTCTAAGTTATGTTAGGAAATTAAAGTATCACATCTCAGCTTCTTTGCCTTAGCTGTATGTGACTAAATGACATGACCAGTTCACCTCAATCTTATACTTGCTGTTTGATTCAACCTCCAATTGTAGTTTTCGTGCCGATGACTTGAGCTCCACACTCATGATCCCAACCTTCTTCTCTGATTCACTTAACTATGTAGAAGAAAATCATAATTTTATCCAGGGACATGTGTAGCAGGACTCTAAGGGTTTTAATTTATTAGTTGATCCGCGGTAACTCAGCCCAATGTACTTGATATAATGTTTCTGTCAAGGAGACATTACACTGGACTGCTCAGCAAATAATACTCTGGCCTTTTTGAAAAGATTTGTGATTTTATTTGGAAGAGGTCTGGAGAACAAATCTGTTTGAGGTTCCTGCAATGAAGGAGGTTTGTTTCTTACCAGTTCTGTAAGTTCTTCTGTTCTCTTTCTTTGTCTTTCCAATTTATCATTCATCTCGTTCACTTCTCGGATGCGAGCATTTTGCAATTCATCTAAGCCTTCCTTCAACTTTACTAGTTTTTCCTCAGCAAGTGTTCTATTGATGAGTTATTAACAATTTATATAATAATAATTTAATCATTACTGGCAATTATTGCAGCAGTATCTCCAGGAATTGCATGAGAAAGTTAATTTGAAATTACCGTTATTCATAATAATTTTCTAATAAGTTTCTAATTTCACACTTGTCAGTGCATGAAAAGAGCTTACACAAAAATGTTGAGAATTACAGATTTAATTTTAATATGAATTTATTTTGGCAAGAATAAAAAATTTGAATGATCCAGTTTTACCAAATTAAATCTAGAACAAATAAGGTACTGTAGTTATACTGTCACTCTTTAAGGTGCATACCAATTTACCTTAAAGCCTTTTCTTGTTCCAGTGATCTTTTTGACTCTGCATTTGCACATTCATGGTTATCACGTTCAGTTTCAAGAGATTTTCTAAAAATGACGGGTTAACGTGCATCACATAAGTTATTAAGTAAAACATCAATTTTAGTAAATACCACAATCAAGTTCAACAATGTTGAATGTGATCATAATTCTTGTTAGATGATAAACAACATTGCATGATCACTTTTAAGCTCTTAAGGATATTTGCATTGCATTTTGTACCTTGCAATTTCCCATTTCATTTCTTTCTCTTCAAAGCCTTCTAACATAATTTCCAACTCTTCAACCTGACTCTCTAGCATGGTACAAGTAGACTTGAGCATTGAAAATGTCTGGTAAGATTACAAAATACAAATTGTGTTTTTTTCTTTGTATTTTAAATTTATGGGTGGCTTTGTTTTGAAATAACATTTGATTTGATATACCAACCAGATCTTGGCTTTCAATTTGTCTCTTCTTTTCTTTTAATTCATCTTCCATTTTTTCTTTCATTCCTTCCATTTTTATATATTCATCATTCAAATTGTCAAGTTTTACTTCCAGTTCCTTTGGAATACAAAATTAACTAAGTTAAACAAATTCAATTTTAGTTGAAAAAGGATAAAATTATTATTCAGAAAATAATGAAATAAAATCTTCAGTAATTTTTCTCATCGAGGACATACAAGACATTGTTAAATACTTCATATTTTTCTTTTTCATTGACTTCAATATATTTTTAGCCTTAACACATTTAGACTTTTTGAGCACGAAACAAGTTTCATTTATTCAAAAACCTTAAAGTTTCCAATTGCTAATAATTGAAGTGAAATAAAAGGAAGACTGAACAAAGTAAAAATTAATGTGTCTTACCTTATTTTCTGTTTCTGTGGATTCACAGTGTTTTGTCATTTGCTGTAGCTTGTTTTGCAGCTCTAAAGCAATCTAAAAAACATAGCAGTACAAAGATTATCAACTACCATGATCCAAGACATTTCTTGATCTCCAAGAATCATTCTAGTAAGTGATTTGAATCTTGAATCAGAGTGCAGTTGCAGTTTTTGAACCTTTTTTAGAACCAAAGGTGTTTTATCATGATATTTTACAGAAAAAAACTCTCTTTTGTCAGGATAATCATGATAACTGCCCACCCAGTGTGTATCAATATTACATTTACACCCTTCTATAATATATTGACAACCAATAACTAAATAATGTAGCACAAATTACTAGCCTCGACTCGTTCTTGTGACTCAAGTTCATCAAAAGCTTTAAGACTTGCTGCCTGGAAAATTATGTAGATTTACTATTTACTATCTGTGTAAATTTACTTTAATAAGGTTTACTTTTATCAAAATTTGTCAAAACAAAAAAATATAATGTACACTGACTGTACCTTCATTTCTTGTCTCAATAGCTTTTCATCAATTTCATTCTATAATACAAACAAACAAAATTATTCTTGACATATCAGGGCAGAGCATACATATACATAATATGAACTACCTACCAATAATTTGTTGCATACCTCTAACTTAACAACTGCTTCTTCTAAAGACTTATTGGTCTTCTGGACATCTTCTCTTTCCTTTTCAGCCTAAAATTTACATTCGACAAAATATTTATTGTATTTTGTTTTAGATCCATATGGGAGGGGTAAAGGAATTTTGCAATCAATAATTGAACCAAGCTACCAAGATGTACTAAATATCTAGTATTTAATTTATTTTTTGACAGCCAAGGGGGTTAGAAATTCATATTTTTCACACCTCAAATAACCTATCTTCCATTGATCTTATCTTCTCTAAAAGTGATTCATTTTTCTGAAAAAAAAAACACATAAAAACTATGAGTTTTACACATGGTTTTTACAAACAACATAGAGGTTAGTATTTGTAGTGAGATTGAGTGTTTGATTAAATAAAATATACCTTTTGCAGCCCATTTAAGTCTCTTTCAATAGATTCTTTCTGTTGTTTTAATTGTTCCACTGCTGCAAGGTGTTCTCCGGTCAGCATGGTTGCCCTGGTTGTTGTTTTGTTATCATATTCTTGACATCTTTCTTGCAGGGATTTAATTTTCTGGTTTAAAGCAAATTAGTGAGAAATGTAGACAAGGGGAAAAATAGAATAAAGTATAATAAAGTTTGTGAAGGTACTACTGGTAAGCTATTTCCAAAACAAAATTGGAAAAGATGATTCATTTTTAAATTAAAATTTGCTTTTTGAGAAAATGTGTGTCATTAATTAACTAAAGTGCACATGAACCCTTTTAGAAAATCATTTTATAAAAAAGGCAAAAATATGATGCTAATCATTGTCTTGAAGAAAAAGAAGTTGTTTGAATTTTATTTTCTGAGTTAAAGACATTTGAAAATTTCTAATGAAGTGACGTCAATCAAGGAATTGGGCTGGAGGTTTTTCATTGTTTACGATATCTTGTGTTCAGTTGAAATGGTCAAATCATCAATAACAGTGATATTCAAGAACTGGAAATGTCATCTCCAATATAAAAAAAGAGTAATGTATTTTTTTCATGATTTTGCATATTAAATTACATTTATTTAATACAAAATCTAGACTCACTGTCTCATTTGTAATTATAATTTTCTCTTTATCAGCAAGTGATTCTTCCAGCTTTTTATTGGTATTCTCAAGTTTTCTGTTGCAGCGACTAAGTTTAGAAACTTCTTCATCTTTCTCCTTCATTTGTCAAAGAGAAAAAAGCAAAAATTAAAGACCTTTTCATTGTTTCTGATACTGATTTTATAACAAATAATAATCATTGTAAATATATTCTTTTGGGCATACTGAGTTTGAATACAAAAAGGATTACGAGAAGATTTATCCAGGGACGTCAACTCTCCCGGATTTGCTGGGAGACTCCTGATTTCAGATCGAATCTCCCGGTCTCAAGATTTCAGCCCTAAATCTCCTRGATATGCACAATATTTTCATGAAATGATACTAATTATAAACCATCGTTGTAAATTTTTATTTTTAAAGAAAACCTTGAAAACCAATGAATTATCACGTTTCCTCGATCTTTCGATACGGAATGAAATATCTACAGGAGTTGCTTACGTATGCTCGCGCATGAAAAATATACATATTGTATAAACTGATTATGCAATGTCTTAATCCCATTGGTTGAAATAGTATCACCGTCATTTTTGACGTCATCAATGACGTCATTCACATGGTGTGACGTCATACACATAATCTAGCCAAATCTCCAGATATATAAAGTTCAGAGGTTGACATCCCTGAGTGTTTATCATTTTTACTAAAGTGTATATTTCAGCCTTAATCCAAAGGCCATCGACGGTATACTGAACTACATGAATAATTACAATTAGTTCAAATGACTTAAGGGAATTGACTGTCCCTGTTCATTCAAGGATGGTTTTATTCAATGTAGTTCAGTATAGCGTTGATGGCCTTTGGATTAAGGCTGAAATATACACTACTAAATATGATAAATCTTCTTGTAATCCTTTTTGTAATAATCATTGATTGTTAATAAACAATAATTATATTGCAACATATTTCAACTAACCTGTAACCTTTCTTGTACAACATTTTTATTTGCTATTTCTCGCTCAAGCTTTTTCATCTCTCTCTGGTTCTTAAAAAGTTTATCTTCTAGATCCTACAATATGTTAAGTACTAGTATAGTTACATGTCGTGCAGACCCTTGCAAGTCACAAATATTACATACCATGATTTTTGTAGACATCTTCCTAACTTCTTCAGCTTTCTGCTTGTATCTGTCAGACTGAGCACAATCACTGCAAGCCTATCAGAGACCAATTAATTATTGAATGAATAGTGAATGGTTGAGGGATGTTTGACATGCCTGTTTACATACCCTGATACGATTAACTATCTGTTCAGCTAAGTCTTCTCGCCTTCTAATCACTGACACTAAACTATCTGATTTCCTGATAGTTTGCTACACTTGTCAATAATGTAACGAATATTAAATGTATTAAAATCATAAAATGAATATCATTTAACCAATCAAAACATAGGTTTTCAACAGCTGAAAATGAGCCTTGTCGTAGCCATGAAAGGTCAATTTGACGAGGGTTGTATGTGACAAACATTTAGTTGTAGCACCATTCATATCAATATGATGTTGTGTATACGCCAAACTACATTATGTGACAAATCTCTTTATAGTGTAAATTGGTAAATTGGAATTACCTTATTCCCATCTGTTTCATCTTTCCTTGTTTTAGACTCTTTTTCTAACTAATAAAAGTTAAAAATACAATAGAATTTATCAGTAAAAATGCAGACAACAAAATTGCTGCAGAAGTACAGTGTCTTTGCTAAATCATCAAATTTTTTGTCTTACCTTTAGATCAGTCAACTCTTTTTCCAATTGATCTTTGGCCTTTCTGATATTTTCCAGTAAGGTAGTGGCTTCTTGACTTGACTTGAGTGACTATACAACACAGAGATTATTAAATGTTCATTAAAAATAATAAATAGTAAAAAATTAATAAAAGATGAATAGATAAAGTTAGGTATAAAGTAATCATTGCAATGCAACAATGTATTAACCCTTATTAGAGGGCACTCAATGTACTGGTTAGAAAGTACAGTACTGACTGTAAGGAATACTAACCTTGTTCAATTTATCTTGAAGCTCACATATTCTTGATTGACTGTCATCAGTGACTTTATCTAGTTTACTCTGCCACTCTTCCATGCTACTCTTTGTTTCTTCATTCATCTGATGACAATAAACATTGTACATGAGAATGGTCTCATTACTTTTAAACAAAAATAATAATAAAAAGTAGCAACAAAAAAAACCTTACTTTTGAAATTCTTGAATGAAGGTCATTAGTTCTGTGTTTACTTTCTTCTATTACCTACAACAGAAGCCAAGCAAATAAATTGAGCTGTTGATTTTTCTGTAACATTAATATTTTAGCAATACTACTTTACATCTTTAGCATTACCTTTTCTTGCAGTTTTAGTTCTTCTTCAAGTCTATGTGCCCTTTTGTTGATGATGAACCTTTCTTGTTCCAGCTCAGAAATTATCTGCTGTTGTTCTTCAAAAGTTGCTCTATATAATTATAATGAACATAATGATGTAGCTAAATGTATTAACCCTATTCAGACTGGACTTTGTTTTGCAATCTGTGACTCCTCCCCCCCCCCCCCCCCATATCTTCAGAACCAATAGGTCCATGAGCATGAAATTGTCACACAATGGTGCCCACGTAAAACGAACCACCACACCCAGTCTTGACCCATGGGAACCAAATGTGACGTCATAATGACGTCATGTACACCATTTCAACGATTTATAATTCATTTTAATAAATTGCCTATAACAATGCCTTAGAGAATGCTGCAATATCATCTGTTTATTATTGAAATGACTTGAAAATAATATTTTTGTTTTTTTAATTGATCCCTGTTCTATATGACATCACAATGACGTCATAGATATCAGGTAATTTTTATAAATTATATATCTATATCTAGATAACTAGTGAAATATCATATTTAGTTTCAAAGTGCTACTGATGATTTTAATGAAATTTTCTCCCATGTGAAAAAATGACTGAAAACTACACACCCCTCCCCCAAAGTTGTTGTTGTCAAAAAAGTATTATGGTATTGTAAAGTCAGCAATGGGAGCAAGCTCAAATTAGTTATTGGCATTTTACTTGAGGGGGGGCTCAAAATCCCCCCTCCCCCAGTCTGAATAGGGTTAATATATAAATCATTTATAGGTTAAGTTAAAATAATAACAATAATGTGCCCTTCATCCCTTATTCACAGATTATTTAGTTTTGCTGAGTTTGCTGAACAGTTGAATTGATCATCACATGAATGTACCCTTTTATTGTTCATTTTCATACTGGAGGGGGTGTGTATTTCATTACATTCTTTGCTTTTCTCATTTGCATAAAAATTGCTAGTACGCGAGGACATAATGTCCATTGTGGTTGTATCAACAAGGCACTAATACTAACCTTGTCAAACTGATGAGTTCAATGTGTCATAAACTAAAATAAGACTTTTAGTATCAGATTTAGTTTACCTGGTCTCCTGATCTCTCATCTCTTCTACCCTTCTGCTGCTTTGCTTTATCTCAGTGATTAGTTTTAGAGTTTTATAATCGGAGTTGTTTCTGTCTGTTCTTTCAGAGTCAAGTCTAATTTGGAGATCCTAAAAAAAAATAGAAGACAATACCACAGTTTCAAATAATCATTTGAGTCAAGTAATTGTGCTTGCACAACTAATGGCAAATGCATGATTTATAATGAAGAGGTACCATGTTGAATATAATTTTAAGACTGCAATGAAACAATACAAGTTTATTATATTGGAAAAACTAAACCAATTTTTTATATCTGCAGTAACACTAGTAACACTAAACCTAAGAGTCTCTGATTTGAATATTTGACAGCCTTTATGATTCAGTTTCTGTACAATACAAGAGCAGAAAAATACTTACCTTGATTTGAGATTCCATTAAGACTTTTTCCTTCTCCAATAAATCCCTTTCATTTTCTGCCTTTCTCAGTGCTTTCTCCTTTTCTGCCAGGGTGTTTTGAAACTCTTCCAATGATTTTGACATGTCTTCCTTCTCAGTTGAGAGGACATGGCAGTTGTTCAGTGCATCTTTTAGCTCTTTTTTTGTCATTGTCAGACGTCTTTCAAGGTTGTTTGAATGGATGCTCTTTTTTGCAGGTGAGTTATGTAAACTAAAAAAAAATGTACATTTCATTGATATATTTCCCAATTACATGTAAATCATTATTATACATCTGCACAATGCATCACAGCTGGACTTACATAGAATGATCAAAAAAAAGATTATTATTATTATTGTTTTTCTTTGCAATGACACAATCAGTATCCTTCAGGATTATCATACAACTGTACTTTTTGGATATCACTAACAGAACAAATGACACACATGGTCAGCCGTTGAAGTCCATGTGATTTGGAAGAATTTTTTATACAGAACAATTTTTTGCATACAGACATAATACTGTTAACCTGGGCAATCAATATGGAATGTAATTTGGATATTAAGCGTCTGACTGATTGAAGTAATTAGTATCTGTGTCCCAAACAATTTCCAATAATTTCCTATTTATTAAGTAAAATACACAAAATAACTGGAGGTAAAATAGCCAAAGTTATACAGACGCCTATTATTGAAACTGGTGATTAATGATTCCCAGTGGAATCAAAATAATAATAAACTGTGCATTGTACCATTGTGGGGAGAGTGGTGTGTTGATGTGCTTTGTAAAGGAAAATCCTACAAAAGGTAAATCTTGGCCACTAAAGCCTTTCTTCCTGTACTTTTGCAGCTGTTCAGTTGCATCAGGACTTTCTGGCTCAAACTCATCAAAATTGGAAGTGTCATCTGTCCCATCAAGTGTGGGTACAAATGGAGGCACAGCTGAAATGTAAACAACAATGTTTCTTCAGGGCTGGAAATAAATGCCTGCATGAAAGTGTCCAATATATTTTGTAGTTATTATAAATAATTCCTTTAGCACTCTAGGGATTCCCTTTAATTAAGTGTTTATAGTCGATTGACAAAAGGTTGTCATCGATCGGTTTCACGAAACATCAATGACGTGGCAAATTAGAGATTTGAACGCCTTTGTAATTGGAAAAACTGACACATAATGTGTGACAAAAATTAACATGAAATCACGGGATTTTCATTATGCATGCATGTGATGTTGATTTTTGCATCAAACATTGTTTACCATCATGGTGGGGAATACAACGTTCAATGTTTGTCTTTGAATTCTAAAAAAGAGAATAAAAGCCAGAACAAACTGACAATATATACTACAACGTGTCATTATGCCTATTTTGCCAGTTCATTGACTTTTACCCAAAAACCTGTTCGGATGGGCCGGGTGCTACGAAGTGTGGTCGACGACAACCTTTTTTCAATCGACTATATCTGAGCAATGTCTATACTATGGTCAGTGGTGTCTTCTGGAAAAGAGATGCAGTCATGACCACTTGAGACTGTATTTGTTTAGATTTGATTTGCTCAAATTTGGTCTCTGTTATAGATGACACCAGGTCTTAGACAGACAACAGATAAAATGGCATTGCTTAGCATCATAATGATTATAAATACATGAGTATCCTGTGTTCAAATGCTACTCTTACTTGTCTGTAGTTTATTCCATTCATCTCTAAAAAACTGATGACAGGTTATTCCTTCATAATTAAGCCTGTCCTTGCTGGCTGTACATAAAGATGTAATAAAATCTTTTGCTGCTTTACTGATCTTGAGATCATGAGTGAAATTCATTGAGCTCTACAATGAGATATTATCACATTTATTATGATCATATGATATCACACGATAGTATTACTATTATAAAATGGATTGTAAATGTCATCAAGATAATGAGCTAAATTGGCATTGCAAAGTACAATTTTAATTGTATACATAATTTATGAAAAGTAATCATAAATAGATGCATCCTAAAACACTCAATATGTAGCAAAAATAATGGTGCACTGATAAAACTGGATGACATGAAAAGCTTAACTTAAAACCAATCAATCAAACTTTTTAAAAAWTGTCTGTTTGCACAATGGTCAAACTGAAATTTTGAGTGGACATTGTTCATTAACACACTATTATTTTTCCCCYTCAACCTAGTATGTAAGCCAGTATATTATACTTTTTGAGCTGACATACCTTATAGTTCATTATTTTACTGTAGGTAATAACCACTGAATCAGCTTCAAAAGGTGTCTGTCCACAAAGCATTTCATAGGCAACAACCCCTAAAGACCACCAGTCACACTCCATGCCGTAAGGACCTCCTGACCCATCCATGCTAGTCAGGACTTCAGGGGCTATGTATTCTGGTGTGCCTACTGGCATCTTGGAATATACCTAGTAGTTGTTAAATAACTATGTTTTTAAACTTCTACATGTATACAAAGAAGAAAATTCAGAAAACTGAAAACCATTCATCTGCATAATGCACAGAACATTTTTCAATCCAATCAAAATTGCTAATAAAATTGATTTGTCACCAATCATGTTTATCTAATAAATATGTTGTTTTGTTTTAAGCATTTTATTTTATTCACTTTGCACATACCTTTCTGTCAGAGGAGAGCCTGGCAGAGGATCCAAAGTCAGCCAGCTTGATATGTCCTGTTCTGTCAATTAGTACGTTATCAGGCTTGATATCCCTAGAAAAACACCACAGATATTTCAAAACTTTATTAAAATATAGTTACAGGCATTTCAGAATTCATAAAACATGTGAGAAGTTAATCCAACTTTTTTGCCATATTTTTTCTTATTTCTCAAACATACAAATTATCCTGACTGGCACAAAGGTATCACAAGACAAATTTTTGTAATACATTCAGATTAGATACTCTATCCCAGTTGCAGTTGATATTTTGAAGGTTGCAGATTACTAATCATAGCATTAATATTGAATTAATTTCAAGTTTTGGTATAACATCCATAACACTGTACCTATGGACAAATCCAAGTTGATGTAGACTATGAATGGCCATAGTGATCTCAGCTAGATAGAATCTAGCCATTTCTTCTTCAAAGACATCATCATGTTTAGCAAGCAGTGATAACAGATCACCACCTGGCTGATATTCCATTACAAAATACAAACACTGGCTGTCTTGGAAGGCATATTGTAGAGAAGTAATCCAAGGGTTGTTAGCAGTGGCCATTATTTCTCTCTCTTCTTCATAAAATGCAACCTGAAAGAAGTTTTAACTTCTTACTTCTTTAAAAAGAAGTACCTTGTTTGTTTACTTAATAAATTTATAATAATCCTTTTAAAATGATCAATACCAACTCCAATCAAATACATATTTTATATAATATCATGATGTCAGCTCCCACAACCTATCCCAGTGAGTAATGCCTGAGTATTAGGGACATGGCAATTTGAAATATAAATTTAATCCCTAGCAGTCTACCAAGCTTAAGTAACAGGCCAAACAATTAGAAAGTAGAGAAAAAATGTAAGAAGGGGAAACTGTTAATGGGAATTCAATCATGTGTCTTCAAACAATTTGATTCAGGGTTTTACCTATCTACAATATTTTAAAATTGAGAATATTTGGAAATGACTGTTGCCATAGTTCATAGTGTCTATATATTTTTAAATGTCCAAGAAAAGTAGTTCTAAACCAGTAGAATTGAAGGTTATCCCATGATGTTCACATCCGGAAATATGAACATGATCAGTTGAACACTAATAGGACATTGACAGAATAATTTCGAGTATTCTGTAATAATGCATAATGTAAACAAAGTTATATTAATTAGGAATTTTGTACTTACACTTTCTTGTGCAAGCGTTTGACTTTTCTTTAATGTTTTCATGGCATAGACCTCACCACTTTGCTTCTCTTTTACCACTTGAACCTATCATAGATTAACAGAAACTGTAAAAAGAACATACCAGACCTCCCTCTTTCCTGTTTAAGTTCTGGGAAACCCTTTGATTTTCAAGCTGCATGGTTGGCTAATTCAAATTGAAAAAATTGATTGACCCAGTTTCCCATAGTCTTTGGTGGGAAGTGAGGAGTAATGGGTGACAAGAATACAATTTAGTAAGGAATTGATTAGTTCAGGTTCAGTTATTTTTGTATTGTATTTCATGAATCCTTTTACCACAAAAATGCATTACAAATGGTCAATTAAATTGTAATCACAATAACTTTGTTAAATGTACACCATTTAGCTATTTTCTACTTTTCTTATATTTTCTTTGATTTCAACTTGACTTCAAAATATCCAAAACTGTTTTGTCAGTGATGATTACCATTTTTTATAATACATGTATAACCATACTGCTATCTGATAGGCTACCTAGCCTATGGACCACCAAAGGTCAATATTGAAAATAATCCACTCTAATTTACATTTTGATATCCAACGTTAATTAAGAATAGCATCCTAAATATTTCCCCTCCCAAAAAACGGCCGTTATCATTTCAACGGCCGCCAAAAATACCCTTTTTAGACGAATCATTTAAGCTTACAAGAAGCTAGTTCAAGTTAAACATGCTAGCCTTGAAAATTAAGAAAAACAACTTCTAATATTTTATAAAACCGTTGAATCGAAATATTTGTTTATATCTTTTAGCGTTCTACCTGACCAAAATGCCCTCTTCCGATAGTGTTTATAACTTCGAAATCGTTTTTGCTGAGGCAAAGGTGCTTAAGTTCGTCTACCATAGGGGAATCTGTATCAAAATAAGAAGAAATAATTAACTTCAAGCCTAAATCATTTGAAAATAATATTGAACTTATAATTTTGTGATAAATGCCGGTCAAACAATGACACGAAGTATAAACTGAAATAATGTACTAAAAAGAATGTTGAAATCGCAGATTTGAATAAACTAAAGAAATCTAGAAACATCGTAGATCAGACAATCGTACGACGAAACAGTCTAAGTTCTCTGACATAAAAATCCAGATAAATTTAGACAAAAATAACAGAGGACTTACATTTCTTGACAAAAGACAGAACATTTTTGTCTTTGAGTAGATCTTCTGAATTACACTCCTCAAAGAGTAGCAAGAAAGCATCTAGAAGTGTTTCCTTGGTAATGATGTTAGTCCCCTTTCGACCGCCATTTTTACTAGTAAGGATTTGATTCAGTTTGGCGCTTCGAGTAGTTATTGATTGAGCCATTTTCAGATAAAATCTAAAATATTGACATTAAGAAAACAACAAAGATAGTCTATATTCCATTGAAAAGATAGAAAGTCTCGAAATCCGATTTCGAGTTTGTCGCATTTCTGCCCGTCTCTGATGTTTTTGAAGTCAAACGTTCATCTAATGGCGGGATACATACATCACTTCTGATTGGCTGGTGCAGTATCATGCTGCGATTTTGATTGGTTACTAAATGTAAGTCAACTCGCGGATTCGCACTACAGCTATTTCAGAAACTTTGAAGACAGCAAGAACTTCCATGATTATGGAAAGCATATTTTCATTAAAATAACGAAATAGTCGAACTGCATAGTGCATTCCAAGACCTCAACTCCATTGTTGTCATTCAACTCCACGATAAATACGTTGTAAAATGACAAAATTGTGAACTTAGTTGCTTTCCATTGAAAGCTGGTAACATATTTTGACACCATGGCGAAACTCTTTTTGAACGGCGATAGAACGACCAATAATGCATTTCGGTCTTGGAATGCGCTATAGTTCCTCGTCAAAGCCCACTTTGAAGTAAAAATTGCAAAATATTTTTGCTCTCAATTGCATGAAAGTGTTGTATAATGCGAAGTGTGCTTTTATAGTGGAGAAATGACAAGGCTGTTTTTAAAATCCATAGTAGACAGCATATTGCTGCTACAGGCCGAATTAGACTTCTTCCTACAACAATCGCATACAACCTTTACCCTTGCAACATGACTACAACTGTGTAAGTCCTATTATCAAATTCATTAAAAATTCATAAGGTAAACACAATGGAAAATCATTGCTGTGATCGCATCGATTTTCTCTTTTAAGAAAATTTTTAAAAAAATGTTTATCTTAAGTTTTATGCAAAATATGTTTTAGCTTAAGTTGGAATTTGATAAACAATATAAAATATTTGCACCCCCAGGTCATATTTTATATATTACTTAAAGCATTTCTTTTAAATCCCTGTTACAGTTGTGGTCATGCTGCAAAATATGCCTTAGGCAGGTTGCATGCAAGAGTAATTGTATACAGAACTTGTCAAACATACACTTGACACTAGAACATGGCAAAAGAACATTAACTTTATTGTAAAAATGTTAACATATTTATTATTTCATAGTAGTCTTTGTTTTCACATTCTTTTCAAGAACATCTCAAAACACATCAATTATTACTATTTTTGTACGAAATTCATTTGAATGAACAATTCTATAAAAAGTAGAAATGTTATAATTATTTTCAAGAAATTTACTCAACATTCACTACATACAATCTTAAAACCATTTTTTATTAAAAATAATCTCTTTTTCATTTATTGATTTTTAGGTAGTCTAACAAGTTACTAATTCAGTTCAAATTGTATGTATGTCTCTGTTGTCTTGATCCTGTATTTGACAACTTTGTTTTGAATTAGATAGTTCAATCTTTGTACTTTGCAGGTCAAAAATGTCCTCTGACTTTAAATCATCATCAGTTTTGTCTGACTTTTCGGACATATTATCACTTAATTTCTCAGAGTCTCTATCGTTATCAGGAAGTTCTCCTTGACGTGGGACTTTCACTTCTTTAGTATCTTTATTCTTCTTTGTTTGCCCGTCGCGTTCTAATGGACTACTCGATGATATCGGCTCACGAGAGGTCGACGGCTTGCTTCCGACTTGAAGGTCGGACATTGATCGTTGCCGAATTACTGGACGATCAATAGGTCGAGTTGTTCTCGGCATAGACCCATGTCTTCGGAGAGGCTGTCCTTGTATACGCTCCTCTAACTGGAGAGTACGTATTCGAACATTTCCAACACAGGGAGTTCTTTCACTCTCTGAATTCTCTTTGCTCGAATTTTCCAGATTTTCATCTGGAGGTGACGTTTCGCCCTGGGCACCATAATCAGTCGTAAAATCAGATTCCGCGTTGGCAGAATCACGTTTTAGATCATGTTCTTTAGAGTTTTCAATGTCTAATTTATTTTGTTCCATTTCGATTTGCTTTCTTTTGTCTTCTAAATCTGCAAGTGCTTTTGTTGTTCGTTGTTTGTGGGTTTCACGCTCGTTAGCTTTTCGAATGACTTCTTCTAAAAGCTTAAGATGTAACTTCACATTAACAACACTAGAGGTGTCCACTGCATCATGTGCGTCTTTCTCAACTTTGGCTTCATCATCATCATCCTCAGAACGGTCGACAACTTCCAACTGGACATAATCTGTAACAGTTGAAGCGGGTTCTACTTCAACGGAGTCACGTCCTTCGAATATCAATGTATTTCTCTTAACAGTTCCACAGTAAGACTCTCCACCTATGTCCTCCTCTACGCTATGATGTAAGGTTTCCACGTCGCACTCTGTCTCTTTTTCTTGATTTGGACTGACTTCAGTGTCGTCTTTTGAATCCCTTGTCTCATCACCGACAAGGAATGGTAATACACCTTCATACACAAGTGTATTTCTCTTAACGAGTCCTTTTCCTGCTGCATCGGTTTCACCACTTGTCTTGTCAGCTTCTTTACCTTTCTCAGGACTTGAAGTCTTTTTATGAGGAGGTTTTCCTGTAGGATTTACATCATCCACGACATCAATAACAGAATAGTCCTTTGACGGAGCCTTCTCTGTTTTATCCTGGGAGACAATGCCTTTTCCAAGTAATAGTTCTGTATTACGTCTAACAGTTCCTGGTCTTGGAATTTCACTTTCGTCATCTTGCTCCTGCAGTACACATGAATTCTCAGTTTGTGGTTTAATGTCCTCAAACATGCTTTCCTCTAAGGAAAAACTACAGTAATCTTTGAAAGCACCGGCTTCTCGACGTTCTTCTCGTTCTCTCTGCATATCTTCATTTACTCTTTGAAGTAAGACGTCGACATCAAATGACTCAGTGTCCTTTCGTTCGTCTAGAACAGCTTCTCTTTTACAGATTTCGGTATTTCGATGTACTTTTTTTGTTGAGGATTCTGCTTCATATTCACTTTCTGTTCTTTTACTCGGTATGTCCTCAAAGCCTTCCACTGAAGAAGCCTTTGCAAGTTGTTGATATTTATCCTCGATTGCCTGTGTGTGTTTCCTTACAGTTCCTGGAAGGGGGTCCTCGCTTTGAACACGATCACACAAAAACTCGTTATTGTCAATTTCCGACTCTTGACTTTCAATCGTTGTAGAGATAATTTCATTTTCTGTTTTATCACTATCAATGCTCATACCACTCGCCCCCATCTTTTGTCTTGATTTTTCTTTCATCATATCTTCATTAACGTTCTTCAAAGCTTTTCCAAACAACTCTTTACTTCCTTGCGTGTCTTCTTTCATGGGAAACTTTTCTTGAATGTCTTCCGTATTTGTCGATGTTGGTGCCTGTTGTGAGTCCGTGCTTTTGATGTCATTATTCACCGTTCCCTGAAACTTTTGAGCATGCATTTTTACAACACCAATGGGGGGTTCATCTTCGGCGGAAGGAGGCAGCTCCTCCGATACCGATGATGGAGAATCAGGTGTGTCTTCTTGAACTGTATGTTGCTCACTGTTCTCTAGCACATCTAGTGCTTCTTCCCACTCCCATGGAAGGTTGACTCTACCTTCTTCAAAGTTCTTTGACTGTCGTTTTACTGTGCCGCTTTTTACAACACCCTGAGCGTCGCGATGGACAACTGTAGTGTGTGTTTGGTCTGGAGAACTCCCATTGTCTTCTGTTTCTGATTCTTTATGAACCGGGTCATCTGAGATTAAACATGTTGGATCACTCAAAGTGCTCTGTAGTTTTAATTTTTCTTTATTTTCTTCCCCAACTGGAGATGTTGGGTGACTAGCACTCCGTTTTTCAAGGTTGCCATGGAAATCCGCCTGTCTCTCAAGGCTTTGCACTTTAAAATCTTCTTTGAGTTTTTGTACTTTGCCACTTAGAAATTCATGCAGCGAAGTGCATCGGTGGAGTTCCTCAGTTTTTTCAACATCAACGCTTTCATCAGGAGATTGCCTGTTCTTCGCATGAAGTGACGGAACAGAACGCGCACGGTGCAACACTGCGACCTTATTTGACTGCATTTTCCTTTTAGGTTTTTCCAAAACACCCACCGTGTCACCAACTTCATCTATGTCATGATTAATACTCGATGACATCGGATCATCGTTATTTTCTGATAAGGATCTTTCCCATTTTTGTAAAACATCTTCGGTTGACGACGTTCCTTCCATAAAAGAAGATTGCTCTGTGTCAAAGTCTTCACTTAGATCTTCGGTATCAGCATCTTCACCAACAACAAACTTGCTTCTTTCCAAAGTGCTTGAATGAGCATCTTCAAGTATGGGCTCTACCGATAACTTCTCACCAATTGTGACTGTTTTCGACTTTTGGTTCCGACGATTACGGCGACGTTTTCCTCCTTTTCTAACATCTAAATCATCTGAGCTTGTTCTTCTTCGACCTGGTCCTGAGAATACAGGATTGAACCTCTGTTTACTGTGAAGAAAATACAAAAATTGTTAGCCAATCAATGCCCAAGATAAATGGGAAGTAATAAATAGAAGAAAATGCCAGAAAAAAAAAAACACATGCCTAGAAAGTAAAGTCATATACTCGAACAAATGAATGATCACAAATTACTAACCAAACTAAAATTAACTTACAGTTGTGATCTAACTTACCTCGAATTCAGAATGCCTTCATAAGTAATCAGCTGTTTCCAAAAACCAGGATTTGGGTTGATGACGGATCGTTTAGACTTCACATACTTCATTGTATCATGTAAGTTTAAGCCATACTCTTTCATCCCATAAGCAATCACCTTAACAATGAAAACATAGTTAATTAACTACGATGAAAATAACCAATAAAACGTTTTACATGGTTTTCAACATACAAAGCTTATTTCCAAATGTACATAATGAACTCTAAAAGAAGTTGCAAGATGTTGGGGGCATTAAATTTGATACATGGATAAAGACAGAGTACAAATAAATTCTGCAAATTAAATACACCATGTATGTTTTAAAAATCTTTTCTTGGTTGCAATTGTTTCTTACCGTTGATGCTGATCTACTCATGCCCATCTTACAATGTACAAGAACGTTTACACCTCTTTCTCTGAATAACAAAAGAAAGTAGTTATAAGTGACACAAGTACTTGCCAAAAGTGAGATTTGTCTCATAGTGAATTAAGTTTAATAGAAGCATCATCTATCAGATAAGTTAAGTCACATAAAAATTAAAAATGTTTTTGAAATCGACGATTTTGGCTTGCATCGACATGTTGTATATTTTTGATGCTAAAAACATACATTTCATCTTTGCATTGTATTTTATTTGGCCTATTAAACACAGTATTCTTACTTTGCTTTGTTAATAAACTTGTAAGTATTTTCCCAATGAGATAATAAATCTGATTCCTCTACATCATAAAGTCTGTGGATCAAGATTTCAGATTAGTTTGCATCCAGTGCTTGCAATGAACAATAAGTGTACCATCTCAATGGGTAACTTTCTAAAACTAAAGGTCTGTATTGAGCCATACAGAAACATCAGGATTCCGATGATCAACAAACATTTCATAAGTCATCTAATTGTAAAAAATATTGGGTTCAATATGGTTCAGCATCCACACAATATATATCCATATCAACAAAAGCATCTGGAAGGTGCATCCACAAGGAAATGACAGCAGATTTAATATTATAATACATAGGTCAAACTATGGGTGGATTATTTACAAGGTCACATCTATATTGTCATTTCTTCAATGTATTACTGTATATACTAAAACTACCAATGTAAGTATGTCCTGGTGCATGTTCAGGAGTTGGGGCAGGGGGTTGGGGAACCCCCTCATGAAACTCATGTACACACCCTACATGGTTAGACTTGTGGTGATTGCAAAAGTGTAAAATGATAACAGGGGAAGAGCAGCAGCTTGTCAATCCATTTGTTGGTCTGTTTTACATGTGGGTATGAATATGTAATAATCAAATTGCCTACCTTATGTTTAGATATTCAAAAGTTCCATAAAAGAAATTATCAATTTCTCTAGAGATATTCAAAATATACCCAATCCTAGAAGACAAAACATGAAATTACAAATTATATATAATATTTTATTGTAAAAACTAGGGTTGTAGATGAGATGAGCCCAACAACCAGAAATATCAGCACAACACAATTAAATGTCCCTAGTTAATAATCATGCACTTTTAAGCTTTAAACTCTGTCAAAAATCAATAGTTTACAACAGTGCTCCACTTGCATTGTACATGCATTACAGTGTATGTCAACAAAGGACCAAAATAAAGCTACACAACATTGTCAATGAATAATAATAGATGTACCCATTTTCTCTAAGTTCTTCTAGATTTGAAGCATTCCATTCAGATCCCTGAAAGGACATATCAAGATTTGTAAGTACTACTGGTTTATCACTGATAGCAATAGGGTTATGTTCATTAGTAAGGCCCGGGATACCCCCAGTCTGTAATTCAAAACTTCATTTTTTTACAATTTAATTACTTTCTTGYTTCATCAGTCAGAACAGCTGAGTTTGTTCGTCACAAATTTGTGACATTCRTGCCACCATTTTAAGCCCATGTCAGTTATTGGAATTTACCCCTAAAAGGGCCTCATTTGGAGTCTTGTCCTTTTGGACTATAAACCAACTGGATAAGAAGACTTATAGCCTTGGAGTATATTCATCCAGTTTTACTGTATGTTCATACTTCACAAGCTTACCAAATAAACATGGTCATAAATTTGTGAAGATGAGTCCATTTGTCCAAAGATAGTTAACATTTCTTCATCAATGTACTTATTGTACTGTTTTAAATCCATTTGCATTTCATCTTCAAGGCTTTCACGAATCTACAAGAGAAAGGAATTCTATTATTATTGTTTYGGTCTTAGAAACTGTTAACAGGTTATCTTAACTAGTGACAATCAAGTGAAAAGTTTATAAAACAAAGAATCATGCCAAGAAAATGATCACTCACATTTTTACAAAACCTAGGGTTGATAAACCAAGTTTTCAATGTATTTGATGATTTTGATCTTTTTAAATATCTTTTGTCAATGAAAGATGAATCGATTACAAAATTATTTTCCAAATATTGTTTTGAAGTTTTAAGTATATATAATGATGAATGTAATTAATATATGAGTGTTGTCAAAGCAAAAAGGCCCTAAAGAACACGCCCGCCACCAGTGGTGCCTAGCGTAGAGACTCGAGAGCAAAAGGGACCTTAACAGCTTAAGTACCTTTTACGATAACATCGCTCATATAATTATTCCTTTATGATTGTAATTATGTTTTTTAACATCTTATTAGGTGTATTGTTAACATTTGTATCCTATGTATCAATTTGATATTTTGAGGATTAAAGTCATTATTATTATCTTACCATTCTGCTAGTTACTTCTTCTAAGTCCACTTTCATCATCACCTTTAACAAAAAAAGATCATTTTATGGACTTTTTTAAGTAGTTTTGTGCTTCACTACAGCAAAGTTCTATTGCAAATAGCCTTTGATAAAAMAAAGTACATACTTATTATAAATCGCCTGATACACATGATGAAGTACTACATATATCTATGTACCAAAGCACAAGTAAAGAAAAATTATAACTGAAAAACTAGAGTGTCCTAACAAGAGCGCATTCCTGAGGATGCACCAGGGGTGTGAAGCTCAGCACAATTTAATGAATACTGAAGTTGTGCATTACCATAATTATCATAAATTATGATTTTCTGACTTACTTCTTTTAACCTGTGCTTTATAAGTTTCATCATCAGCTCTTCCTCTTGACTGAAATGAGAGGGGTAAAATAAAAAAAATAACCACAGCAAGCTTTCAAAAAGTCTGTAAGCTGAAGCTTATTATCRAGAAACAAKACTGAGAAATRAGTATGAAGAACTATAAAACACTAACGTTATTCCAGTAGGCAACTGAATGAGCTTTGAACTGATGTCTTCCATCTCATGCCTCAGAGTAAAAGAACACCAATAATTATTACTACCAAAAGTCATAACAAATTGTAACAWCGTAACAATAATGAAGCTCACCATTCATTGATGCATGCCTGGTCAGAAGATATATGACTGGAATAAAAGTTAGACCACTGGTGCGACAGACCATTAGGAAATTGGTTGTTTTTTCTTGCATTTTCAGAACATCTGTGAATCCACTGGACTGCAGTCCTACAAATAATTGAAAATTTATGAAGCTAGTACACATACAACTTGATATCTTTATGTTCACTTAGCATATGATTGCTGCATGGAAACAGTGCAGTACTAATCATTTGATAACCAACATATATTACATAATTTTTCTGTATGAGTTTTCAGAAATCAAAGTTACAAGTTTAAACTAGATGACCAAGCAATACAAAAGATGGATAAAGTTATTCACTCCATAGATTTTATCCTCTGGACAGGGATGTACAATCATGTATTTCGTGGATAGCACTATTCACCCTTCAGAACAMTGGCTCCTGTTGGTTGGACTTACCACATTGTTTGAACAGAAACTGGCTTTARAATATGACTTTTATAATTGGTTGTAAGTTTGAAACCACTGAAACAAAATAAATCCAATATTAACTACTAGATGAATCAAGAAGCARAATATTATATGTTGTGTTGAAAGTACATTTTTTTACTTACCCATCACCATCAAGTTCAATTTTTGCATCTCTCCATAAAGGTAGGACCATTCCAATTGTGCAAGTAGCTCTAAAAAAAACAAAGCAAATGTCTTACACACTAGAGTACCATCACCTCTTGTGAAAGTAATCATTAACAGCACTACCACAAATTAATCATCTTATTTTTAACTTTTTTGAACTAAATAAAAAGATGAAACTTATAACTCTGAGATTATGAAAACAAATAGTATCTATGTACTAACGACAAAGTGCTTTTAATTTGACTTGAAATCACTATTTCACAGAAACAAAAAAAGAAACACGAAAAGAATTATATTTAACACTTCATACACCCATATGATTTCTCATAACAATTACCTTGTATTAACCCAATCAACACCCATTGCAATGCTTTCTTCAATATCATCTTCATTGAAAGCTGACACCACTGTCAAGTAACGAACTCTGTCTTTTGAAGCACCCTCAAGTTTAACAACCTAACACATAACAATTTGAGTTTTTGAGTATTTGAGTGAATACCAATTATTTATTAACGYATCAGTTGTAGTTATGAAAGTCCAATGACAATTGTAATGCTTAATAGCATTTTCAAGAGTTCAAAACTAACCAGTCTCAGAACATCATCATCTCTTAACAAATTCACCATAGACTGTAGATGCATTTGCATTTCACCTATAAAAGAATGAGATTGATATAATTTTCATTAACTGTACAAATTCAAGCACAGCACAAATACTGTACAATCAGCTTCTATGACAGGATAATAATATGGAATAGAAGGAACTTTGAAAACATATGGATTGCTTATATTGCACTAAAAAGAGAAATGAATTATAATATATGTGACTGTTGGTAAAAATCAGCTAACCAGACTATAAATAAYTTTCATGCACGTTGTACCTCCATGCTTGGATGCTTTCCTTGCAAAGTCGCCATCTGGTAAAGCAAATGCTGAACCCTTGGATGCAAAGAAACCCTCAAAACTTGATCTGTGATATAAAACAGAACTATAAAGATTGCTGTGCCCCATTCAATGATCTTTGTACAATAGATAGACTAAGTTTTCTTGTGAACATCACCCCTGAAAGACAGACTGATCTCACTTCAAGACATATTATATGTACAATAATATATAATAGACCCATAAGGTAAACAATGCATGTCTTATTAGCAATTGAAAAAAACTTTACTTAATATGTGCATCAAAGCGTTTTAATATTAAGTTTCATAAAATGAAAAGTTCAGATTTCAACAATTAGACAACTTGGAAAAAAACAATAATTATTTTGATTAGCTTTTTTATTATCCAAGTCCTTACTTTTGGTTTCAGATTCTTTTCACATAACGTATTACTTTGTACATCACTAAATTATATATCATTTACTATTCTAAAGATTCATTTTTGCACTAAAGTTGGTATTATTGATTCTGTAAAGGAATCCATGTTATTGAAGTATTTTACAATTCTGTACATTCTACTGCAGCTACATATTGTATGCTACCTTGTTATAATTATAACATGAATATTCATAGCTTATCATATAAACAGAACTGTGTAAACTTCTCCAAACCACATATTACTGGACTACATGGACTTTTAATTAAGATACATCGATACATATGGGGTTGGATGACAGAGCCCAACACAAAACTCGATAAAAAAGACTAAAATCCAACAAAATTAATGCACAAAAAAAGGCCATGGAAACTTCTCAAAAAATTTGACAATCCTTGTCATATTGGTCATGTCTTACTAAACATGTGGCTAAATATTATACTCTCAAAGCAAAGGTTTCTTTTGATCTGATCTGTTTAATAGTTAACTTTATGCATGAGCTACTAGCACATGTTGAACTTCATGTGACCTTGAGGTGCTTCAGGCATATATAAAACAAAACAAAAGAGAAATGCTGAATGTCAGCTTCTTCTGATATTCACTTTCAATTTATTCATAGAAGCTTTCATTAATTTGATTTGTGCATTTTTTAGCTGATGCTAGTTTCTGCATCAGATGTGATAATAGTATACATTTATTCATTTAAATACATCCAGATAATTTTCATAATAGCAATCTGAATATTATAACTATGGAGTGTGGTTGTACTCTTAAAGTAACAATATACAAAGATTAAGGTCTATGCAGTATTTGCTAATTTGCCATCTTGTAACAATTGTACACAATAATTGCAAAAAAGACTTAAGATTTAGAAAGCATAGCCACCTTGCAATTTAATTATAAAGAAGATTCTATCAATATTTAAGAATGTTTGTGTTGTCTAAACAGACAAGTAAACTTTGAATTCATTAATGAAATCACAACATTAGTCTTCCAAAAATTTAAACTGAGATAACAATTGGTACAAACAATTTAAAACATGGATTATTGCTAGATAAAGAGTAGATGTTACCATTATTTTTACCTCAATGTAATCTACCTTTAATTAAGTCCAAAAACTTGACTAAAATCAACTTTTTGATAAATGATGTTTTGTTAACACTAATGACAAATAGATCTTATTAAAAACATGTTATGCTTTGAAATTTTCATACCTTCTTCTGACTGAGTATGTTTGATGTGGGTGTACCATTTAGACTTTGACTAGATTATACATTACTTGTAATGTCTTTTGCTTGGAGGAGAGTATATATGCACAAACTAGTAACATACCAAATTGAGTTATACCCATAAAATTAGCATACAACTTAAAAACATGTGCAGCTTTGAGGGTGATATTTAGGCATGTATGTATCTACATATATCTTCACATGACTATTACCTAATCAGTAACACAGTGGAATGAGTTGAAAATTATAGAGATTGAGTGATTAATGATCAAATCATAAAAAGGCCACCAGCTATAGTCAGATTAGTCCAGCCTTAAACTAAAGATTAACTATATTGTAATAGGCGGGTTAAAGAATCTCACGGGAGAAATATCTTGATTATTCCTATTGTTTAGTCTGAATACTACCAGTTCACAGGACTTATAATCTATTTTTGGAAAAAGACTTAGAGTCCAAAGTATAAAGTAAAAAAGTCAAGGCCAGCTATAAGTAAACATATAAATATGAAACAGTTCTCATTACATTGAGGTATCAAATTGAGAGTTGCTGTCACAATTCATATCACAACAAATGCTGTTAACTTTTAAATTAATGTTAAAATCCTTTCCAAAATGTTTTTGTCACTCTCAGCATGTCTTCTGAATATTTATCAATAAAACTATATTGATTCAAAATATGGACTTGCCTAAACATATGYTATAGAAAGAAGGGCTCAACTATCAGGAATAGTGAAAATGAGTTTGTTAATGCATGTAATATAATATTTTCAGCTTTGCATTAAGAACAATACAGGCTGTATTGATTCACTTGAGAGTGAATTTCAAATGTAAATAAGTTAATGTCTTCAAGATCAGAAACCTCAAACTCTTATTTTTGGTGTATGTAACTTAAGCTTRCATGTAAGTTTATCTTTCTGATCTATACGATAGGGTCGATACGGAAATGACCTGATCGAATAAATTGWTCTGAAGAGGYTTTCACCACTACTATGTGAAAAGCMACCGTATATACTAGTAACTTAAAAGCTTGCAGGTMAAAAGCATATCACAAATGCACAAATTTTTGAGTCACATTTTTAATTCAAGCAGACAACCACACTGATCATCGCCAGTTGAATTGTTCTARTTTTTAGACCTCGTTCATTATCGTCCACGTATTGWTCATTCTAGAATTAAATGTGGAACAAGTTGTGGTTTCAAATTAAAAAGAGTGCTATTCAAGACGATACAATCTGACAACAGATTGTCAGTACTTCACGTACAAGATGTATGCATACACATTTCTGCACGGCAAAATTACCACGACTTGAACGAAATAGGTTATATAAATGTCTGTAATTATTGACAGACTTACGTTCTAGACCTTGGCGATCCTTCCTCGACATCTTCTTCTAGCTCCTAACAGCCAAGGTTTAATAAAAAATATCGAAATGAACGTCGAAAAATCGAGAAGCATGTCAGGTTTCACACACAACATTTTAAATCAAAATGACAGCTCTATATTTACCGAGTCTGTACATGTGCTTGTGTTCTCAGAGGATGGAGAGCGAAGTACAGTTACAAGAGACATCCCTCCTTCATAGCAGCCCTAAGGCTGGAGGTTATAATCTAAAAAGACCAGCGACAAAGTTCTTTTCCCCTTTTCGTTTCTACTTGATGTTGTTCAAGTCCTACCGGTGCGCGAATGCGCATGTCTGCTGCATAACGCGCCTCGATTTAAAACTGGGTTTGTAAAAACAGAAATTAGATCCACAATGCTGTATATATAGTATCTGTTCCTCCATCCAACAACTTGATCAGCAGAATATGAAGGTCGAACAACTCATGGTAGTCAAGTTCATATCCCACTCACAAGTAGTATACAACAGCGATAAAATAGTAACATATTCTCAGCATCGAATCACATTTTAGACACACACATTTATTCTCACATTTGACTTTGACGCAAAGGCCCCAAGTATAAGTTCCGATACGATTCTGGGCGTATGAAACATTTCACTCTTCTTCCCTCCCGTCATTGTACGACGACAATGACGTCATATCAAAAAATCTAAATAAATTATTAAGATGATGCATGAATTAGTTGATACAGCTTTATATGAGAGCTGAATTAGAATCACTGAAATCCTTTATACTACCAGTATGTACGCTGATAGCAGAAATACGTTTTTRAAGTAGAAATGCATGTACTTGATCGATGAGATGCTGTCGGAAAATCAGTACATCCGCCTACTGAARCCATCATAYATGTAGCACCTCAAAAWATAAATAGATAAATAAAAGAATGAAAACAAAAGAAAAAATGAGTCACAACCCAGTATAACACACTGTTTCTTACTGCACAACAATAACCTGCTAAAACTTTGTTTGACTATATATAATGTTACTGTAAAAGTTTTTACGTCAATAATTACGTCACATGACGAAAGTAACTCAGACAAAACATTAAAGCTTCGCAACGASTACTACAAASTGGTTGAGTCTTATTACAGAATTGATTTTCACCGAGTATTGGACACTCTTAGAATTGATAAGAACTATAAATATGTATTAATACAACTGAAGCATTGCTGTCGAAGACCTCATGTTTATTTGACTCGTATTTACTTTCAGCTAGTCTTTCGGCTCTCGATCGTGTGTAAACAAATAAAAATCTATGATCAGTTCCTACATATTCCAAACAAGCCGAAACAAAATATTACAACTGTATATAATTACGSCGTATTCTGAAGTATATTCTATAGACCTCTAAAATTAATTCACTTCTATAATCATCAACTAAAGAAAAGAATCATTCCATTTTCAGTACTTACAGAATAGATCCGATTGCCTCTTCCAAAATTAAAGTTAGCCATTTTTCTTTATTGAATGAAGTCCACTTAATTTAGTGTATGCTTATCCTTGAATATCTGTATGCAACATATTCAATAGCTTACCGTCGGGTAAAAATCCAGTAATTTTTGACCTTTCGAGCTGCTCGTCTGAATCTTTCCTTCACAATCTCACTTCGCTCGTTCGCCTTGTTGTCACTCATTTTGTAGTAAATAGAGTGTGTCCTATGTTAAAACCATTTTACAAATCACTAGAACCACGAAAGGTACTTCACCACTTGTAGCATAGCTTGTAGCAAATCGGTCTTGAGTGGAAGACCCGTGAATCAATCAATTGAGTACTGTTGCACTTTCATTCGATGATGCCTACTTTTGTCTGGTGAAATCCAATTAGACAAGATCGAGTAAACAGATCGATACTTGTTTAGCACATTGGCAATGCGAAAGTCCTTTCTTCCTGACTACGCTTCAGCTGTACTTTCGCTTGCTTTTCATCGATCGAATAAGACAAATTCGTTCTCACCCTCAGTACTGACAATGCAGGAACAATAGCCCTATGTCAGTATTGTTTATCATAACTGAAAAATGGAAAACGAGCAACATGGAGGTAATTATGCGCATTAATATTATACACACAACATCGAATACTCCAAATGGTGGTCATGCTAGTCATGCTGTTACCAAACAAAGGATTATGTAAATCAATACTATCTCATTTGCAAAATATAAAGAATTTCATTTATGATGCTATTTTACATCAATTACGAGAACAGGCTTTTGAAAATAGTTTTTATCCGAATCATTAATTGCAAACGTAAACATTCAATATCGCTCAAAAAAGTGTGAAATATTTGTCATGTTCTATTGGGATACCTGTGTAATAGTTTGTTTACCTCCGCAGGAAATGACTTATGGGTAAAATACAATATGGCTGAATCAATGAACAATATTTTAAAAATTCTTAATGTTTTTATACTTTTCATTTCAAAATGGTGAGTGGAAATTCGTGATACGAGGATAGCTGGGAATCATTTGGTGCTTGTTCAAATCTTTATTCCTTTTTATTCCTTACATGGGTCTTTTAGGTGGTTATATGAAATACGCTAAAGTTTTTTGTTGTTGCTTAATTTCTGTCTACATAGGTTTGGATATTGTGTAGCACAACAAATACCTTTACCAGACACTTTTGTGAATCCTTCGTTTCAGGTAGCGCATTATTTATGGTAAGTTGCAATGATACAACTCAGAATACTCCCTTGAGTTTTACATTAATTTTTAGTGGAATTA